GCCCACCTCAGCCTCCCAAAGTGCTGGGAATTACAGGCATGAGCCACTGTGTCTAGCCACACATATTTTTTTCAAAACTCATGACATACATTTTTCTATTGGGCAGATGCAAAAATTGAGGTATATCTTAGGAAAGAAGATATATCTCATCGTACATCCATACAATAGAATATTATGCAGCAGTTATTTATGAAAGATGTCTAATAGTGTGAGAAGGTACTTATGATTTATAAGCTGTATATGTGGTACTCTTTTACCAATGTTAAATATATTTACATGCGTGAAGAAATAGAAAAAAAAGACATATAGAAAAGAGGTACACCAAATTCAAATAGCGAGCACTTCTGTCTGGATAAGAGGATTATGAGTTATTTATATTTTCTTTTTTATTTTTCCATCGTTTATTCAGTTTTTGATACTGGGTATCAAAAATAAACCCAGTATGGGTGGTAAATAATTTTGCTACCTACCTTAGTAAAGATTTAAAATATATAGTGGACATTCAAGGCAAATTAATGTTTTTTGTAGACAGCCAGTGAAAAATTGTCCATCATGAACTTTTTTTTAAATTGTTGAGAATTTTCCCATTTACTGCTTGAAGTTATTCTGCATGCCATTAGCCGTTAGGCAGTGCTCCTAGAGAGCAGTATTTCCTAAACTGGGAGTGCCAGTGGTAATGCTGAGGCTTGCTGCAGCAGTTCGGAAAATCATTCACAGTTGGGAAAATAATTTACAGTTTTACAAAATTAATGGTAGCAGTTACGAAAATCCTGAAGTATTTTAGTTCTGTGTTTTGATCTATGAGATTATTTTTTAAAATAAACCTTTTCTTATAACATGTATAACAAGTATAACATGTATACCCAACAGTGTACAAATCAACTGTACCATTTATGAATTTTCACAAAGTGAACATACTCCTGTAACCACTTCATTTTATTTTTGTTGTATTGTGCCACTATTAGTCTTTGATAAAATTTTTATAGGATCTTCACATTAAAAAATATATTGTTGGCCAGGCACGGTGGCTCACACCTGTAATCCCAGCACTTTGGGAGGCCAAGGCGGGTGGATCACCTGAGGTCAGGAGTTTGAGACCAGCCTGGTCAACATGGTGAAACCTTGTCTCTACTAAAAATACAAAAAAAAATTAGCTGGGCGTGTTGGTGTGCACCTGTAGTCTCAGCTACTTGGGAAGGCTGAAGCAGGAAAATCACTTGAACCCAGGAGGCGGAAGTTTCAGTGAGCCGAGATCGCGTCACTGCACTCCAGCCTGGGTGACAGAGGGAGACTCCATCTTACAGCTTGAACTAAATCAAGATAGTCAAGTGCTAGAAGCGTTTATTAAACAGATAATTACTACCAAGGTATGGTGGTGGGCATCTGTAATCCCAGCTTGAATCCAGGAACGGGAGGTTGCAGTGAGCCAAGATCGTACCACTGCACTCCAGCCTGGGCAACACAGTGAGACTTGGTTTAAAAAATATATATGTGTGTGTGTGTGTGTGTGTGTGTGTGTGTGTGTGTGTGTGTGTGTCTGTGTGTGTGTAGTTTCATATTCTTTGGTCTTCAGAAGTTATACTCTAGATATTTTATGCTTTTTGGTCTCATAACTTCATTAGCTCTTTGGATTTTTACATTTTTTCAAGGAGCTCTAAAATTTCACTCAGAATAAATATTATTATTTTTAGTTTGTGGTGGGAAAAGATTAAAAAATGAAAGAAAGTAACAACTACAAAATTATTGCAATATAGGCTCTACAGATTTAATTTTTCTTTCATTCCCAACTGTGGCATATGTTTTGCCCCAGCGACTGGTTGTGTAGAACTTGATTCCTGTGCATCTGCATATGATACAGCTTAGTTTGCTGATCTAAAGAGGCAAATCAGCAACCATCTGTAAGTGTGTCAGGCCTAGAAATCCTAGCCCAGACTGGGAGGAACTTTAGAGATCATGAGGCGTAGATGAGGAAACTGAGGCCTGGAAGATTGCATGCCTTGTGTAGGGTCATAGAGTTGGTGCCAGAGCTGAATCTAGAACCCTGACCCTAAACTGTTAACTAAACCATGCTTTTCCGCTAGTCTCACCTAAAAACTTACCCTTTCTGCTGAAAATGCAATCCTCTTCTCAAGACAAGTTACCTAACATGTTTTTCAGCCAAACTTCTTAATGAGGATAGCCTCACAGCATCAACCTCTTTCAGAATATATTCTTTGGGTTACTTGGGGGTGAATAAGAGGCAGTATGATGATGGTATAAATGGCAATCTGTAATTGTTTAGATTGGTTCCAAGAATACATTCAACTGGAATAACCCTGGCAATAGGGAAAGTGGTGGCATGATGTTGGCTTGTGACCCTTCCCTGGGGAGCAAGCTGTCAGGACACCCAGCAGTGCTTCTGGAAAAAAAGGTTTCTAGGCCATGCTCCCAGGCACTGGACAGAAGGACTGGCTACTTGCACCTGTAAGGTGACGGTCAGTGTTTTATGATTTGGGGTTTTGGGGATTTTTTTTTAGGTTGCCTAAAGGTAGATATGTAAATAAATCTGCTCTGTGTCAAGCAACTTTATTGAGTAAGCGTTGATCACTGTGGAGGACTCTGGGGATTTAGTGCTTGATAAAACATGTCTCTAAGGACTTAGTCTTTGGAACTGACAGTTCCAAAGAGATCACCATTGGCCTTCAGAAATCTTGGTTCTGTTGGTATGTCGAATTAGTGACATGCACAAGAGTGTCATCAGAGCAGACTGACTTTACCTACCTGTGAGTTTGTATCCTGATGGGAAAAGCCTCTTCTAAATAAATATTGTTATTCTTAATTTGTGGTAGGAAGAGATTTAAAAAATGAAAGTGATTAACTACAAAATTATTGAGATCTAGCCGTTGTGGATCTAATTTTTCTTTCATTCCCAACGGAGGCTCACATGGTAGCCATTCTTGACCTGACCTTCATGACCACTCTCCATAGTCCTATCTACCAGATCTGTTCTATCCTTTCCTACCCTTTCTCCAGTATAAGCCTTCCTCAGAGGCCAGACTAATGGCTTGCCTGCAGATGTCTATGGCTGTTCCTGCCTTTGAGTTTTTTAATATATTTCTCCCCTCATTTAGAAGTCCCCTCCTCCTCTTCTGCTTTTTCAAATCCTATCCAAACATCAGGGCCCAAATCCATCTCTACCTGCTCTGCAAAGCCTTTCCCAGTCTTCTCTCCTCAGACTCACATAGCACTTCTTCCTCTACTATGCTGTGGATGATGTGGCTATAGTTCCACCTATGGACTCTGGAGCTAGACTGCCTGGATGACCTTGGGCTGCATCCTTTCCTGGCCTAGAGTTCTTCATCTGTAAAAATGGGAATAGGAATTGCATTTGGCCCATAGTTGTACAGATTAAAGGAGTTTATAGCATTAAAGGTTATAGAACAGTACCTGGCCTGTAAGTTCTCATTAAATAGTAGCTGTTATTCCTTCTTTTTCTTCTTGTTGTTATTCCTTCTAGCATATATTGAATCATGGCCTTCCTTGTGGTGTTTCATCATTTTGATTATTTATTTCTTGGTTTCTCTCTATTTTTGGTTCCTAATTGTGAAGTTTTCCCACAAAGAAAGAGACTTGATTTTATAGTTTTTGTTTGTTTTTTGTTTTTTTGAGACAAGAGTCTTGCTCTTGTTGCCCAGGCTGGAGTACAGTGTCTTGGCTCACTGCAACTTCCACCTCCCAGGTTCAAGTGATTCTCCTGCCTCAACCTCCAGAGTAGCTGGGATTACAGATGCCCACCACTGTGTCCGGCTAATTTTTGTATTTTTGGTAGAGACAGGGTTTCACCACATTGGCCAGGCTGGTCTCGAATTCCTGACTTACGGTGATCCGCCCACCTCAGCCTCCCAAAGTGCTGGGATTACAGGCATGAGCCACCGTGCCCGGCCGATTTTATAGTTTTGTTGACCATTTTCAGTACTACATATGCATAGGAGGTCCCCAATACCTGTCACTTAAAACGAAACTATTGGCCGGGCGCGGTGGCTCAAGCCTGTAATCCCAGCACTTTGGGAGGCCAAGGCGGGTGGATCACGAGGTCGAGAGATCAAGACCATCCTGGTCAACATGGTGAAACCCCGTCTCTACTAAAAATACAAAAAAATTAGCTGGGCGTGATGGTGTGTGCCTGTAATCCCAGCTACTCAGGAGGCTGAGGCAGGAGAATTGCCTGAACCCAGGAGGCGGAGGTTGCGGTGAGCCGAGATCGCGCCATTGCACTCCAGCCTGGGTAACAAGAGCGAAACTCCTTCTCAAAAAAAAAAAAAGAAACTATAATTGCAATAAAGAAAATAGCTGGAACAAGAGTGAGGAATTGAGGAGAAAAGATAGACTTTATTTTACAGATGGAGTTCTCTATGATTCTTAGAACGTGTAATTTGTTCCTTTTTTCATTGTTGTTGAGTCTCGTGAGCTCTTCTACTGCAGTCATCAGAGGTGTGAACATCATTCACCAAAGATGCTAGCAATTTCAGGAAGTTTTTGCAGACAGTTTTATTCTAGGCCCATGATGGGACAGAATCTCAGACAGTAGATTCTGATCTATCAAAATATCTCAAGGCAGCAAGTGGTGTAGGGCATGAGCTGGTTGTTTGAACATATTTCCCTTGCTGAGGGTATGGAAAGCCACCAGTAAGAAGGGAGCCTTTAATCTTCAGCCACCCTCTCTGCCATCCTCTTCTCCTTTAGCAGCTTGGATATTCACAAGCACCATATTCACCTGTCAATATTCACAAACATTTGGGGGAAGTTGAAAGTTAAACCCCAGTAGGAAGCGGTAGGGACCCATGTGGAATCACTCAACAAAATTAACCTAATTGCAGAAAGGCGTCCTTGTGATGGCAGGAACTGCCAGCGGCATTCTTTCCCTGCCGTTCACCCAGCAGTCCAGGACTCCCGCCAGGGTCCCTCTCGGCTCTATGGGTGCTCTCACCTAGATGAAAATGCTGCATTTCTTCTTCTCCTAGGCTGGAACAAGACATTAAAAAGTTAAAGGCTGACCTGCAAGCCAGCAGACAAGTGGAACAAGAGCTCCGCAGTCAGATCAGCTCCCTTTCGAGCACCGAGCGAGGGATCCGGTCAGAAATGGGCCAGCTTCGGCAGGAGAACGAGCTGCTGCAGAACAAGTATGTGTACCTTTCGGGCCTTTGGCTATAAGCCCAGCAGCTTCACTGCTTCTCTTGTTTCCAGGGGTTGAAGCAGAAGATTCATGGTGACGAAGAGACCTGCTGAGAGGTTTTTAAATAAAATGTTTAAAATACTCTTTTAGTACCAGATATTCAGCATGTTTATAAAATCTATAAAAAACTTATTTCATTGCCACAAACCAGTTTATTAGTATTACTATTCTTTTCTTCTCTTATTTAATAACTTCTTAGTCTAAAATAGTTACTGAGTTTTTGGATAGTAAAGTTGACAAGAAGTAGTTCTGCCACAGTTTGAAATTTTTGCTCCTTTGAGTGAAAGTTTCTAGAGGATTTGACTATATTTAATTATATTACCAAAACTAAAAAATGACATTGAACTTTGATTTTATTTGAAAAGTCAGGCAAATAGCTAGCCCTTCTGTGTGAATTCTTTTAGGCCTTTGATTAGTTCATTCTGGAATTACCTCCTGACTCAATGTGAGTCTGTCCTTTTTTCTTTTTTTAAAATCTCCAAGCAATGTGTGTCTGTGGTAGTGATTATCATTATAGACTGTTGGCTTTATGGGCTTTCCCTATTGAAAGAGGAGTCCAACATTTTTAAGGAATGTAACTCAAGAGCTAGGGCATTACAGGCAAATAATGTCTCCATTGCCTCTGTCCAGCGTTTCTGGTGGTTCTAGCATTGATACGTAGAGACCATCCCAACTATAAGCTCACCTCATGCTGATAGGTAAAGCTAGGGTTGGTAGTAGGCAGGAAATATGGCTGAAGTTTCTATCTGAAATTAAGCATCCTGTGACTCTAAAAGAGGATTTGGGGACACTGTGAACAAACATCCTGAGCTGGAAAGGAAAGGCTATAGTAGGCTACAGCAAAACTGTATTGAGGAAAAATTCAAACCTTCCCTTTTCATCCTTTACCTGAGTTTCACTGGAGCTGGTCCCATCAGTGGTTCTTTGGTGGGACTGAAGTTCTTTCAGTGTGCTCTGAAACCTTAGAATTAGTTATACAATTATCTTCCCCTCTGTTTGAAATTTGTTTTACCCTGTTTTCTGGATTACTTTCTGTAGATCACTTACTTGAACAGAGCAAAGGCTTGGTCTGAATCTCTGTTTTGTAAGGCAGCTTGCTGATTGGTGTCTAGGGATTTTTTTTTTTTTTTTTTTTTTTGAGACGGAGTTTCACTTTTGTTACCCACACTGGAGTGCAATGGTGCGATCTCGGCTCACCGCAACCTCCGCCTCCTGGGTTCAGGCAATTCTCCTGCCTCAGCCTCCTGAGTAGCTGGGATTACAGGCGCGCACCACCATGCCCAGCTAAATTTTGTATTTTTAGTAGAAACGGGGTTTCACCATGTTGACCAGGATGGTCTCGATCTCTTGACCTCGTGATCCACCCGCCTCGGCCTCCCAAAGTGCTGGGATTACAGGCGTGAGCCACCGCGCCTGGTCTTAGAGATTATTAAAGAATAATGACAGTGTGTTTTCCTCAGGCATTCTGGGAGTTGACATTTTTGATTTGCTGTTCAAACCTCCTGTTTATTTGGCCTTAAGGTGATAAAGAGTTGTATCTCAAGGGTTTACAGTAGGCATTTCTAATTCTAAGACTTTTTATGACAATCATTTCCATATAGGTTACATAATGCTGTGCAAATGAAGCAAAAAGACAAGCAGAATATCAGCCAGTTGGAGAAAAAGCTAAAAGCTGAGCAGGAAGCCCGAAGTTTTGTAGAAAAACAATTAATGGAAGAGAAAAAAAGGAAGAAGTTAGAAGAAGCCACTGCTGCCCGGGCTGTTGCATTTGCGGCTGCGTCTAGGTATGTCCATGTCACCTGAGTGTTTAATCCAAGGTTGGCTTTCTTTTACCAGCAATGACATGAGAATTTGATGCCTTGGGCAGGATTACATGTACAGCAATCATGCATAGTTGGATTGCTTTTAAGTACTGTTTTATTAGCTGGTTTAAACTGCGTCTTTGCAAGCTTGCACTACCTTATAACAGCTTCATCCCTCAGTGACCTCATCTATAAAGTGGGTTGAGAGAATCACCATGCTTCCCACACCTGGGAGGCAAAGTACTGCGCATAAAAGGGTTTCTAATCACTTTTTGTCAGGCTGATGGTTACTAAATGCATTGGCATATTCCATCCGAAGTTTGTTCCCTTTAGAGAGCTATCATTACTCTCCACCCTTAGGTATATGTGTTTCTGGAGTTTTTATCTTAAAATGGAAGAAAGATAAAATCTTGGTTGCCCAGGCACTGTGTACTGGCTGCTCAAATGGGTATCAGCAAACTATCAAATGAGATGGAAAAAAAAGTGAAACCTGAGTGACTACTAGATGACATTAAATTTGTGGCATAATGAAAATTGGGGCCTATCTCCCATACCACTGGAAAGTACCCCTGTGTGCAGGTATTCCAGAGACTATTATGTAATTGCCATTTGGATTCCAGAGAGGAGAGAAGATAGTTGAGAGCTTTTTTTTTTTTTTCCTTTTTGCTTCTACTTCACTTATCATTTTTTCCTTTATTTTTTTGACTAGTGAAGTCCCTTTGCCTGTGAGTCAGTTAGGTTTTTGCAGATACAGAGTGAGGGTAAATTATTATTTCATTTTTAAATTCCATCCTAATTTGTATCTATGTGGTATCATTCAACTGTAAATCTTCCTTGAATGTTGCTTTGTTGTAATTAAAGTTAAGTGATTTAACTTTTGGCATGTTGATAGCCTTCTTTGTGGGTTCTGACATTTGCAGAATAATTGGTGAATCATTTCACCTTTTAGGACATAACAGCAAGTGAGAACTGTCTCCTGTGTGATCCTTCCTCCTCCCAGCAGATGGCTGAGCTGGCTTGGCCCATCAGCATCTATACAGACATACCAGGCTCTTGACTAGCCTGCCTACAATGTGGGGTTGTTTGTTTGAGGATATATTAGCATTTTGAAGCACTTATACTTGCAGGAGATGTTCCTGAACAGTCATCTAGTGATGACTGCTCTCCTTAATTCATCTAGCACCTGACCTTTTTGAAAAATTCCACTCCGGAGAACATAGTAGTTCCTTAACCGTATTGCTTAGCATCTCCCTGAGAATCAGTAAGTTGGTTTCAGCGTCTACCCCAAATCCCTTTTGCTTCCAGTTAAGCTTATTTATCTTATCCATGGACAGTCCTTGTTTGCCATAAATTATTATTTTTTTCCTTTCTTTTTTGAGACAAGAGTCTCACTCTGTTGCCAAGGCTGGAATGCAGTGGCATGATCTCAGCTCACTGCAACCTCTGCCGCCCGGGTTCAAGCAATTCTGCCTCAGCCTCCCCAGTAGCTGGGATTACAGGCACTTGCCACTGCACCCAGCTAATTTTTGTATTTTTAGTAGAGATGGGGTTTTCACCATCTTGGCCAGGCTGGTCTCGAACTCCTGACCGCAGGTGATCCACCCACCTTGGCCTCCCAAAATACTGGGATTACAGGTTCAGTGAGCCACCACGCCCAGCCTGCCATAACTTATTCTTAAGTAAATCTTGGCATAAATCTCTGACTGGACCTTCGTTTTCTGGTAGGCAGAGAACACCCACTTTCTTCATTGGGCTGATTCTGGAACCTACACAGTTCCAACTTTGGCCATTGCCATCGTCTCTTTTAGCTCAACTTTATGATAGCCCTGAGAAGCAGCTTAATGGTGTGCCTTACTCCAGGAGTGTGGTAACTTTATGACAAGAAAGGCAAAGTCCCAATGCATAGCCCCTCAAAAGTGAGGGAACATTTTTTTTCTAGTTCACTGCCCCCTGCTGGAGGTAGTTCATGTTCAGTTCTATTTTGCTTTGTGTGTATTGTCTCATCTCATGGCCTGGTGGGAAGTTGGCTGGATTGGGAAGCCAGAAGACCTCAGTTCCTATTCCCAGTCTGTGACCTAAAAGCTAGGTGACCTTGGACTAGTATTATATCTATGGAGCCTCAGTTTTCTTATCTGGAAAATGGAATAAGTATACCCTAGGTTGTTGTAAGGATTGAAGAAGGTAGTATGGGTGAAGTACCTTAGTGTCTGGCTCATCTAGACACTCAATCATAATTATTGTATATATGTATATATTTTGAGACAGGATATTCTCTCTCTCACCCAGACTGGAGTGCAGTGGTGCAATCACAGCTTACTATAACCTCAAACTCTTGGGCTCAAGCTATCTTCTTGTCTCAGCATCCTGAGTAGCTGGGACTGTAGGCATATGCTACTATGCCCAGCTATTTTTAAATTTTTTATAGAGACAGGGTCTCCCTAGGTTGCGCAGGCTTATGTCGGACTTCTAGGCTCAAGTGATCCCCCCACTTTGGCTTTGGGAGTGCTGGGATTATGGGCATGAGCCACCATGCCCAGCCCAATTATTTTAGAGTATTACTGAAATTATCAGAAGACAGAGAGAAGTAAGCAGACTGAGCCAAAAGCTAAAACCTGACAGACCCTGGAGTATAAAAGAAATGTAAGTCTACAATATAAGTAAACCTATAGTCTTTTTTTTTTTTTTTTTTTTTTTTTTTTTTGAGAGAGAAAGTTTCACTCTGCCACCCAGGCTGAAGTGCAGTGGTGCCATTCTTGGCTCACCACAACCTCCGCCTCCATGGTTTAGGCAATTCTTATGCCTCAGCCTCCCAAGTAGCTGCTATTATAGGTGCGCACCACTACACCCAGCTAATTCTTGTATTTTTAGTAGGGACAGGGTTTCGCCATGTTGGCCAGGCTGGTCTTGAACTCCTGACCTCAAGTGATCTGCATGCCTTGGCCTCCCAAAGTATGATGATTACAGGCCTGAGCCATTGTGCCAGCCAACCTGTAGTCTTTTTTTGTTTGTTTGTTTTTGAGATGGAGTCTTACTCTGACGCCCGGGCTAGAGTGCAGTGGCACGATCTGGGCTCACTGCAACCTCCACCTCCCGGGTTCAAGCAATTCTCCTGCCTCAGCCTCCCCAGTAGCTGGGACTACAGGTGCACACCACCACGCCTGGCTAATTTTTGGTAGAGATGGTTTCACCATGTTGGTTAGGCTGGTCTCCAGCTCCTGGCCTCAAATGATCCACCCACCTAAGCCTCCCAAAGTGCTGGGATTACAGGCATGAGCCACAGGCACCTGGCCCCAACCTATAATCTTTCAAACCACTTTATTTCCTTCTCTTCTTTTTCAAAAGGGGGGAATGCACCGAAACCTTACGGAATCGGATCAGAGAACTAGAAGCAGAGGGCAAGAAGCTCACAATGGACATGAAGGTGAAAGAAGATCAAATCAGAGAACTTGAACTGAAAGTCCAGGTAATGGGTGAACAAAAGACTTCCCTTATACTTGAAATCCGCTTTTATGCTAGACTTGTGCTCTGTGTTGCAGTGTAGAGATGATGCCTTTTAATACAGGTCAGATCTCATTGCATCTGAAAAATCTCTATGTGACAAAAAGATTTGAAGTTCTAATCTTGTCCAGCTCATTTCAAGTCATATTAATGTAGCCAGATTATAATACAAGCCAGAAATGATGATGGTCCCTTATATATTTTATACCAGGATTTAACTTGCTGTAGATTCATTTAGCCTTTTCAGGTTCCAGACCATATTGGCGTCCTTTGGAACTTACACACCTCCTTTTAGGCCCAGCCCTCTGTCTATTGCCAGGGGATTGACTCTCCTGCATGGCTCTGAGCCTCACAGATTGTTGTTCACAGCAGTATATGATGGGGAAAGGTGCTAATGCTGTGGACATAGCCTGTTTTATGGGCTGTGTATACTTCAGCTCAAGTATTTTTCATTTAAACTAATGTCACACATTATAAAGTTACAATAATTTGAGCCATGTGGGACAAGTAAAAAATTACTGTCAAGTCAGTGGACTAGAATGATGACCTGGAGTACAGTACCGAAAAGAAAATACCAAAAAAAGTAAAAGTGGCACCAGAGATAGATGGGAAAGGTGAGGATTAGTCAGTAAAAGGCTTTTGAATAGCTAAATAACTGGAGAAAAAAAAAGTAGACGCTCGTCTTATACCACATATAAAGAAATTCCAGATGAAGGGTTGAAGGCAGAAAAAAAAAGAATAAATGATTTTTCTAAAAGTCAGTGAAAATATATTTGACCTTGAAACAAGGGAAAGACTTTCTAAATGTAAAAGCAATGGGAAAAAAATCACAAAGCAAAAATAATAATAATAAATGAAAAAATCAATTGGGGAAGATACAAATATTGCAACAAATATTATAAGTAAGGAATTAATATTCTCAACATATACATAGTTCATAAAAGCTGCTAAGAAAAGCTACAATATATAGAAAAATAGGCTGAGGATGTGAACAAATAATTCAGAGGAAATGCAAGTGACTGATGAGATCATAAAAATATAAACTCATCAGTCATCAAAGACATGCAGATTAAAATTAGGTACCATTTTTCTCCTGTGAAATTAGCAAATAATTTTTAAATGAGAGTATCAGTCTTGGTGAGGATGCAACAAAACAGGCCTCACACATTGCTGGTGGAATGTAACTTTCTGGGAAAGATCTTGCACTTTTTAAGTATTTCCCTTTTTTAGGAATCTAGCCTAAGGTAAATTAATATTTTAAAATCTCACCAATGAGTGATGTACAAAGATGTTCATTGTAGCAGCATAAAAATACAAAAAAATTGAAACAGTCTTAACAATAAGAGAGTCATTTAAATTTTGGTATGTAAACATTCAGGAATATTGTACAGCCAGTAAAAATTTTGTTTTCAAACAATACTTGATATCATTTAGTTTTTAAAAGACTGTATAAAACTGTACATGTAATATTTCACTTATGCTAAAAGATACACATATGCATAAAAAAATTAAAAGAATATTAAATTTTTTAGTGTTGGTATTATGAGTAATTTTCATTTTCTTCTTTGAATTTTTCTGTATTTCTAAATTCTCTGTAATAAGTTTGGATTTTTCTGTTAAAAAAATTCAAATATCTATATATATTTATTGGATATATTAAAGTGGGCTTATTCTGCAGTATGCTCTGTCAAAATAATTAACATTTTTACAATGTTTAGTGCAGGTTGAGAGACGAGTTTTGGCAAGTTTGATTATAGCATTATAATAATTTGCACTTGGCCAGCAAGGAAAAAAGTTCTCCATGGTTCTGAATTAGGCTTGTAAGAAAAGTGTTTTATTTGGAAGCAGATTCCATTATCTAGACACATGCTCTACACAGTCAAATGATTATCTACTAAATGTTTTTGTATGTGCATATTGCCGTATACACACATTTAGCCCTTGGCTAAACCCCTGAAACACCAAAATTTTGTATTCTAGTGGCCAGACCAAGAATAGTGGGATTTAATTTGTGATTTCAGGCTAATTTATAGACATCGGTGCCAAAACTACCTTGTAGCATTGCTGTTTTGATGATATTGATAGGAGCTTCGGAAATATAAGGAAAATGAGAAGGACACTGAGGTGTTAATGTCAGCCCTCTCAGCCATGCAAGACAAAACGCAGCACCTGGAGAACAGCCTAAGCGCAGAGACCAGAATCAAGCTGGACCTGTTCTCTGCACTGGGTGATGCAAAGCGGCAGCTCGAGATTGCCCAAGGTAGGAGAGCATGGGCCCCTGGTGAGGTGGTATGACTGATAGTGCACAGGGATGCACAGGCCAGACCTCTCCTGAGAGCTCTCAATCAAGGGGCATTTCCGTTTTCTCTCCAAGTGTCTTGGTAAGTGCCCAACATTGAAATATAGGAACCATCACATTAATTCATTTGTAGGCATATTTTGAGATGAGAACATGTCAAGTGCAGCGTATACAGAGAATAGTATGATTTCTGTGTTCAAGGGGCTCAGTGTAGTTGAAGAAGTAGAGAGCTGCAGAAGCATCAAAAGGTGCTTGTATAGAAGTGTATATGGGGCCTGTGGGAAATAGAGGCAGGGACTAAACTAGTCTCGGGAGTTGGAGAGGGCCCTTTCCCAGGGAAGCTGATGTGTGAGCTGGGGCCTGAATGTGAGGAGTTGGCCCAATGAAGAAGCAGTGTGGTGGAGAGTGAGAGGTGGAGAGGTGTCTAGACAGAAGAAACAGCTTGGGCAAGGGCTGGGAGCTAATGGGGCTTGATGTGTTCCAAGCTGCAGCTGGCTGGCTTGGCTGGAGCAAAGTTTACGAATGAGGGAGCAGCAGGGGAGAGTCTGGAGAGTAAGCATGGTCATCCACTTGGCCAATACTGACTTGAGACCTACTTCGTGCCAAGCACCATAAGATTCCTTGAGGCCGGGCGCGGTGGCTCACGCCTGTAATCCCAGCACTTTGAGAGGCAGAGGCGGGTGGATCACGAGGTCAAGAGATCAAGACCATCCTGGTGAACATAGTGAAACCCCGTCTCTACTAAAAATACAAAAAATTAGCTGGGCATAGTGGCGTGTGCCTGTAATCCCAGATACTCAGGAGGCTGAGGCAGGAGAATTGCCTGAACCCAGGAGGCGGAGGTTGCGGTGAGCCGAGATCGCACCATTGCACTCGAGCCTGGGTAACAAGAGCGAAACTCCGACTCAAAAAAAAAAAAAAAGGATTCCTTGAGAATACAGCCCTGGCGAGAACAGGTGATGAACAAGTCAGCACGGAGTATGTCAGGTGGTGCAGTGATGGAAACAAAGCTGTGGCAAGGGAGAATGTGTGTGGCAGGGGGCTTCCTTTTTAACGTGGCAGTCACGGAAAATCCCTTGAGTAGGTAGTATTAGTGCAGAGACCCAAAGGAAGAGAGCCATGTAAAGAGCTGGAGGCAAGCACTTCCAGGGAGGGGGCAGCAAGTGAAAAGCCATACAGGGGGAGTGTGGGTGCCATGGTGGGGGGTTGGGGAGTTGTAGCCTGTGTGATGATGGGGAGAGTTGTCATAGCAGGCAGGAGTAGCAGCAGCCAGATTGTGTGGGATTTGGGAAGAACTTAGGACTTTACCGTGAGTGGCATAGGGGAGCATTGGAAGGCTTCTGAACAGAGGCATGGCATGACCTGAGGAAAAGAAATTTGGATTTTTGTCCAAGAAATTGATTAGCTGTCTAATCAGAGTACTAAATTGAGTATAGTGCTGAAAAAAACAGAGTATAGAGCACTGCATAAAATAGAGTACTGAAAAGAATTTTCAAATGGTTGACTTAGTGGAAGGAAAGGAATATTTCAAGCAAGGCATGGTGGTGCTCTGTGTCGGTGCCTGCCCATAGTCCCAGCTGCTCAGGAGGCTGGGGCAGGAGAATTACTTGAGCCCAGGAATTTGACACTAGCCTGGTCAACATATCGAGACCCCCATCTCTAAAATAAGAATATTTTAACAGGGACTGACAGAGTGGTCACAAAGCATTGTCATAGAAGCTTTGGAGGAGACAGGTGAATACAACATGGTGTGTAGACTTTTGTCTTATGGACCCATTTACACTCTTAAAATTAGTACCCCAAAGAGGTTTATTTCAAGTGGATTATATCAATATTTACTTACTAGAAATTAAAACTTAAAACATTTATTTAGTTAGTTATTTTTGGGATGGGGTCTTGCTTTATCACCCAGGCTGGGTGCAGTGGCACAGTCTCAACTCACTGCAGACTCTACCTCCTGGGCTCAAGTGATTCTCTCTCCTCACCCTCCCTAGTAGCTGTGACTATAGGCATGTGCCACCATGCCCAGCTAATTTTTTTTGCTAGAGACGAGGTCTCACTTTGTTGTCCAGGCTGATCTTGAATTCCTGGGATCAAGAGATCCTCCTACCTCAGCTTCCCAAAATGTTGGAATTACAGGCATGAGCCACTATGCGCAGCTAAATTAATTTATTAATTCATTTTAAAATAACATACAAATATATTACATGTTAATATAAATAACTTTTTTGTTTAAAACTGTATTTTCCGGCCAGGCGCGGTGGCTCAAGCCTGTAATCCCAGCACTTTGGGAGGCCGAGGCGGGTGGATCACGAGGTCGAGAGATCAAGACCATCCTGGTGAACATAGTGAAACCCCGTCTCTACTAAAAATACAAAAAATTAGCTGGGCATAGTGGCGCGTGCCTGTAATCCCAGCTACTCAGGAGGCTGAGGCAGGAGAATTGCCTGAACCCAGGAGGCGGAGGTTGCGCCATTGTACTGCAGCCTGGGTAACAAGAGCGAAACTCCGTCTCAAAAACAAAAAAACAAACCAAAAAAAAAAACTGTATTTTCCAAAACAAAAAAATTTAGTGAAAAAAGTGGCATTATTTTACATTCAGCAGATCTCTTTAATGTCTGGTTTAATAGAAGATAGTTTAATTCTCATCTCTGTTTCTACATTCATTCTGTTGTGATTTCACACTCCACCTAGTTTCTAGAAGACTCCACTTACACTTGTGACAGAATGAGCATGAAGAAGAGAAATAATGTCTCAGTACTATTATGAAGGTAGTCTTTAGAATGTACTTGGAGAATTGCTGAACTAGGGTGAGCCCAGCAGAAAAGTAGAGGCACGAGGTAGTGGCACAGGGCTAGAAAGGCCAGAGGAGAGATAGGGAAGGCCTCGTGAAGGAGGGGGCATTGAGTGGGCTTTGAGGATGAATTTCAAGAGCAGAGAATGGCAGAGAAGAACCTGATGCCTGAGGAGGTAGTGTAAGCAAAGGAAGGAAGGTGCTGGTTTATTCAGGTTAGCAGTCCGCAGCCTGAAGCTGGGGGCAGGCAAGGAAAGAGTAGGTGGTTAGGAGACCATGAATGAAGCCATACTAGAGAGGGTATTCCCTAGATTATCCTGAGGGAAGAAGGAGGTGACACAGTCAGTCTGTTATGTGGGAAATCTCCCTCCCATAGCAATGTAAAAGACAGACGGAAGGAGTGAGACTGAGTGGGGACAGACTGTGAGGAAGCTGCCACCATCCTCTAAGAGATGCTAAGTATGGGGAGGGCGGACGGGCCAGACAGGTGAGTGGGGGAGAGTGGAGCGGTCTGAGAGTTCTGGAAGGACAAAGTTGTTGGAACCAAGGAAGAAGAGCAGATTTAAGGAGTGAAGGAAGATTAAATCTGGTTTTGGATGTTTTGATTTGGAGGTACTCCGCAGAAACCCAAGCAGGAAATATTCCTCAGTCAGTGGAAACTTTGGGCCTAAACCAGAGATGGAAGCCCAAACCCCTGGGAGTAAGGGGTTGGATTTAGAAGTTGTGAGAAGTTAGTGAAGCGTAGGAGGGCTTGGGATGGCACAGGTGATTGAGCAAGAGAGGGAGTTTTGAGAGTCACACTGCTTTAATCTGTGGACTCAAAGAAAGGCACTTTAAGAAGAAGGTTCCCAGGAATCCTGCTTTGAAGCTGAGCTTCTGACCTTACACTGACTTTTTTTTTTTTTTTTTTTTTTTGCCTGCCTGACTTAGCTCCCTGAGGAGTGGCCACCCCTCTCTGCTTCAACCCTGTCTACTTGGTTTTGCAAACTTGGAAAAGATTCCCCCTGGTGTGAAGCAGCACCTGGCCTCAGAGTAGCCAGAGTATCTTGGCTTCCCAGCTCAGACTGTGTGCTCTGCTGTCAGCTCAGAAATGCTCATAAAGTGACAAAGAAGCAAAAAGAATATTTTCCAAAGTACTGGGGATGTTTAAATGTTACCGATTAAAGAAATCAAACTTAAATCTGCAGGGGAAAAGATGCAGTGACTCATGTATCAGATGCTTTTAGGTATTTTATTCATCTAAGGCTTATTTTCTTCAAAGAGAAAGCGGGTATTTGATGCTTTCTTGAAGTTTAAGGAACATGAAGGGAGTTGGGGGCAGTTCCTTTCTACTGTTCTCACTTAGGAGACATGACAAGAGTGGGGGGCAGTTCTTTCTACTGCTCTTACTTAGGGGACATGGAGGGAGTGAGGGACAGCTCCTTTCCACTGCTCACACTGAGGGGACATGGAGGAGTGAGGGACAGTTCCTTTCTACTACTCACACGTAGGGGACATGGAGTGAGGGACAGTTCCTTTCTACTACTCACACATAGGGGACATGGAGGAGTGAGGGACAGTTCCTTTCTACTGCTCACACTTAGGGGACATGGAGGAATGAGGGGCGTTCCTTTCTACTGCTCTCACTTAGGGGACTGAGGTTTTACAAGTTATGTGTATTGCTCAAAATAATTTACTTATCCAGAGGTAGAGTAGGATTGAAACCCGGGACCACATTGTTTCAAAGCCCCTGTAAGTGACAGAAAGGGAAGTTTAGGGTGTGTTGAGAATCTAGGGGTTTTAGGAAGCTAATTTAGACAGGAGGCTCAGGGAAAGCTTTGCTGAGGAAGTAGAAGCAATCCTCAAGTGTTAGCTAGCTTTGCAGAAAAAGCAGGAGACACATAGGAAAGGAAGTGGCCCAAGGTAGGCAGGAGCTGACTGGATCAAGAAACTGAAGAGTAGTGAGGGCGAGTGTGCTGGAAGGCTAAATAGGGTGATGTTGCTAAAGCAGGGGCAAGTGATCTGGGTCACACCAGCATGCCCCAGTGCAACAGTCACAGAGCTTCTTCTGTTTTCTGTCAGAGAGCCTGGTGGCAGAAGCATATTACTGTGACTGAGTCTCAGGCCTCAGTTGTTCTGTATTCCTTGGTCTGACACTCAGAGAAAGTCTGTCCTCTCAAAAAAATTCCAGCTCAAGAGGTGGAGCCAGAGTTCAAAATCAGAGGCCCTCTTAGGCTGTCATAGGTGACTGCCATGTTCAAAACATGGTTCCTGGAAACTGACTTCTTACATAAATCACACCTATATGAACAGACTTCTTAGCTCTAAGCCAAGAATCAGTAAACTGTGGCCCATGGGCCAAATCTGGCCTGCCACCTGTGCCCGTACTGCCTGCCCGAAAAAGAATGGTTTTTACAGTTTTCCATGTTTGGGGAAAAAAGATGACAAAGGGTAGTACACTGTATATGGCCCAGGACACCTAAAATATTTATTGTGTATCCCATTACAGGACAAGTTTACCTACCCTTATAAATCACTGAACCTGGAGCCATAGGGATTGGCCCCTGGGAGCATTGTGTTGGGTGAGGCCTCCCTTTTCACTAATGGTGGGTCTTTGATCTTACAGGACAAATCCTTCAGAAAGATCAGGAAATCAAGGACCTAAAACAGAAGATAGCCGAAGTCATGGCCGTCATGCCCAGCATAACATACAGTGCTGCCACCAGCCCCCTGAGCCCTGTTTCCCCCCACTACTCTTCCAAATTTGTGGAGACCAGCCCCTCGGGACTTGACCCCAATGCCTCTGTTTACCAGCCCCTGAAGAAATGAAGGCCAGCTGTGTGTTGTGCCCAACCATTTGGTTACCGAAGTCATTGCAAAGGAGCATCTCTGGCAGTCAAGATGAAAAAAACAGTTTCTATTGTATTTTGTGGGACTGTATCTGTTGTCATTTTTAAAAAGGGGGGAAAGATAACATCCAATTCTGATTACAACTGCCCATCAGTTTTTCATGTAAATTTTTAGAAGACCTCACAGAACTTTACAGTTTATTTTTCTCGGCCAACACATTAAAACCATTCTTGGATTTCAAGTAGCCAACTTTGCCTTTTATGTATTCTTACATAGTTTCCTCTTGAAGAAAAAAAAAGCAGAGTTTTTGCTTTTCAACCCTTTACATTTGTTTTGTTTTTTTCTTAAATAAGCAAGAAAAACCTACACATTGGATTCATATGAGATGATAATGAAAACTTTTAGTTTAAAAGTGAAGGGTTAAGTAACCTAACAGAGCTTTGATGTTATAGCCGCATTAAAGAAGGTGATTGTCAGTATTACAGAAAACAAAAATGGACTGCCCCTCCAAGGACCAAACAGGTTCGAGGAGCATCATTTAAGCTGAGAAGAGACCTAAGTGATGAGACTAGCTGTAAGAATGTAACAGGGGTCGTGTTTGAAATATTTATATTCCCATCAGTATGTTTAGTCCTAGAAAATTGCTAGCAGCAGTCTTCTTCACAGTGCCTTGGGAAAAGACATTTCAAGAGGAAACTTGACAATTTTAAACTCTTTTCCCCCTCTACCGTCACCTATCCTCTATCTCTAATCAAGCTCACTGCGGATCCTGCTGTAAAACTGGTGGGTAGCTGGGCTGTCCGTTACCACCACAGCTACATCTTGTGTTTCTTTTAATAGAAAGCACCCCGGTGTTCTGCACTTGCCTCCAGTAAAGCACCTTGGGAAGGGAGCCAGGCGGTGTTTGTGGATGAGAGACTGTGACGATGGCTAATAAAAGCTACAATTCTAGGGGTTTTTTTTTTTCCATTTCATTTAACTGTGCTTTCTCCACTTTTCATCATCTTGTGTTTGATAATTTAAAAGAAGCTTGACTGTTCCTCAGCTCTTGTGCCAAGGAGGTTTTTTTTTTAAGACTCAAAACTCTGCACAAAGATTTCAGTTTGAAATGTGTATTATACATGGGTAGAAAAGTGTTTGCACAGGCAACTTTTGGAAGTGTTTAAGAATCAGGGTGGGGGTGGGGGGAGGGAATGGGGGGGGCAATGCAAAATTGTATTTGGAAACTAGGAAAAATTAAAGAAACCAAATAAATTGGTTTGCTTCCTTGCCATGGATTCTGGAAGGACGTAGTTCTTCTAAAATTTCCTATTAATTGGCATGTACGTCTCATTTAAAGCAAATTAAGTAGGACAAGCAAGTCAGTAAAATAGAAGTATTATAAAAGAATCATCCTTTAAGTCACAGATCTTATTTTGGGATAAAAAATACTTCTAGCTTTAGCCAGGTGTGCATGTTGCTGCCATTTTGCATTTTTGAATCATCTTGTGTAATTGTCACCATGAAAGTGTTACTCAGAATTGTCATAGATTTTTTCATCTTTGTGCAAAAACATGGAAAACTGTCACTGACTTTGTGTTGAGGTTTCCCCCATTTTGCTGCCTTTTGGGACACTTCGTTAAATACTGGTCTTGGCTGCATTCTTTTTTTTTTTTTTTTTTCCTGTGGGGTTCAAAAGAATAAACATTTTCTTACAGATAAAACTAGTTTCTGCCTTTTTAACTTTCAGGAGGCCCCAGCAAGGTAGATTGTTCTGAGTGGGGCTTAGCTGGTTGCTATCTTGTTCTCTCCTCACCTCAGCCCTTGTCAGATGAGGGTCCCCAACACAGCCTATCCCTGGGTAGGGGGCAGACACAGGATTTGGGGCACTTCTCAAGATCTCAAGTTGGTTTGGTTTCTGTGCTCAAGACATGCCCGTTCTCATTTGTTCTCTCCTTCTCTGGTATCCGATCAGAGCCAAGGCTGACTTGTTCTCTGGTACAACCGTCCTTTCCTAAGAAAGCAAATTAGGGGTGGAGTTGGGGGGTCGTTGGTGAGAAAACCTGAGAGCAAATTTCCTTCACCAATGTCTTGCCCTCTTCTATTTTCTAGAATCTTGTGTTGCTGCTTAGTGACCAATAGGGTTTCCTAACTGCTATAGATCCTGAACTAACATCCACTTTTACCATCCTCCCTTGTTTTTAGAGGCTTTGTCTGTTTTCATCTTTTGAGAAGCCAACTGCCTCTCTTGGCCATTGTTTACAATTGATCTTGGCTTCAGTTTTGGAAAATTCAGCTCTTGGCACCTCACCCTCTGTCCTTACTGTTAGATAGCCTTTCTGAGACTTGGCCATCAAGTCTGTTGCAGACACACCACATTTAATATCATGAGCAGAATTGCCCAGCGGAACATCTTGGCTTGCCTTGGCTTTTGCCCTCGGCCTTCCTTGAAGGAATGTGTCTGCCTCCAGAACTCTCATTGGCACGTTCTTTTCCATCAAGGAGATCTCCAGTTGTTGTCTCTGTTATTTTAGGCCCATCATAAAGCAGCTTCACATCTCAGTACATAATTTATTATGTGCTATAAACCAGTGTTTGCCATTCTAGGTGGTTAAATACTTAGAAGAAGAGTGGGTTGAGTGTATTTTGACTGGCCAAATAACCTCTCTTTATTGACATCTCCCAACTTTACATAAGGAAATAGCCGTCTACGCTCATTCTCTCTGTGGCAGTCATTACAAGAGATCCTATGGAGTGAGAATGAACAATCCCTCATGACTCCCAGCCTGCAGGAAGGGCATAATCCTTTTCCCTGCCGTCTCTCCCCATGCTTACCCGCCTGTGTTAATCCGGGCTGTGAAGAACCACCGGGGAGGGCTGAACGTTTCTAACAGCCAGTCCTCATTGCTGCTTTTGAAATTCATACCACAGCGGAGGGAACTAAAGAGATAAACTAGAAGCCTACCCAAAAGCCACTGGCCAGAGTAGCTAGGCCTGTTTAGATTAAAGGGCCTCTGAGCCTCATAAATGCCTGGTTATATGTGACTCTCAAAGACGCTTACTACTGAGCTGGCCTCTTCCCAGGCCTCGCAGGACTTGCCCAAAGGCATCCCCCTCTCCTGGCCCTGGTCTCCTGTCCTTCATGCACAGCCCTGTGTCCAGCCAAGCCCTCCAGAGAGGGATGGGAGTCCACTCCCTGCTTTGCCTCTGTGGGCTCTGTGACTTTAACCTCTCTAGGGTGCTGTTTCCTCATCTGACAGGGTTGCTTTGGAGACTGGGTCACATGATGCAAAAGGGCACCCTGAAAACCATCCAGGGCCTCCCAGGTGGAAGTGCTGATCTGCTGCAAGGAATCATGAGGAGGGCAGGACCTAGCTAAGAATTCCTGCTCATGGGGCCGCTCCATCCTTGATAGCCTGACTCCTAAACTCGGGACACTCAAAAGGGTGGTCTGCAGCTGCAGCCCAGCAGCACCTGTGTCCTGTGGGAGCCTGCCTCGGACTCTTGCCCAGACCCATCTGAATCTGCATTTTACAAGATGTGAATGGATAATTCAGTTGCATATTGTTTTAGAAGCCCCATCCTGAGCTGACTTTCCTAACATGAAGACTAAACATTGTCACTCTCTCTCTTCTAGTCCGGAAAAAAGCTGATACATAGGCTTTGAAAATTTAGAATTAAGAATGTAATGATGAGGGGCTGGGCAGGAGATGAATCTAACTAAGCCTTACCCCTTTTTGCTTATTTTATTATGTTTCCCCACCATTAGAATGTAAGCTCTATGAAGGCAAAAATTTTTGTCTGTTGACTGCTGTAACTCCAGATCCTAGAACAATGACTGCCACATAGTAGGTATTCAATAAATATTTAGTGAGTGATTAAGGTTTTAGATTAGACCTGTAATCTGAAATACCATGTCTTAATTGAATCAGAGCATCTCTAATAGTATTATTAGAATGACAAGCATAAACAGAATTGTTTCTAGAAGGAGAGGGATAAATTTGAAGTAGCATATTTACTATGACATCTCCCATCTGCCTGTCTCAAACCTTGCTTTTTTGTCCAATTTTCACTACAAACTCCTCCTTGATTTAGCCAGGTGCAAAAAGATTTGCTTAACAGCTGGATGTGCTGCAAACAATCACTTATCTGGGAAGCCTCGCAGCAGGAACCTGATGGGAGCCTGTCCATGCTTCACCCCTCTGGAGCCTTAGACCAACTTCCCAAAGAGCCAGTACTGCTGCATCGTGAGTCAGTGTGGGGATTTTTCATGTTGACAGTAATTGAATCATAAAGGCTTTCCTCCTTGATTTGATGATTGAGTGTCTCAGAGAATTCCTTTCCATCTAACCAAGGGGGCTACACTTCTTTTCTCTCCTCCCTCCTTGTGCATATTTTAGGCGTGTGTTTGTTCCATCTCAGTGCTCGCTTTTAGTTCCTGTCTTTGCCTGAGGTTCAAGTCTTATTTCCTCTCAGGATGGGCTTTCTAGGGCTTTGGAACACTGCTGTGCTTCCGATTTTCCTCAGAACTAAGAATCCAAGGCTGAGCTTCACACACATGGCAGGGCTTTTTAAACCCTGTCCAAAGGAGCCTGGATCGGTTGCTCTGAGAGGTCCATTCTACCCGCTTCCCAGCTCTGCAGCCTTCGGGTTGAGAGGGAGGTGCAGGTGAGTGTGGGCAGGGACCTCCATGAGCCACGTTTGGCCTGGCACCAGCACAGTCTGCATCCTGTTCTTTGCTGATCCCTTCCCTGACTGCTCAGCGTGGCTCCGCATGGAGGACAGGGTTTTGCTCCTGGAGACTTAGACCGTGTTGGTGCGTTTCTCCAGTACCAGGCCCATACTGCCTTAGAACTGTCATTCTCAAACCTGTTCACCAGGAACAGCCTGAAGTCGCCTGCGAAAACAGATTGCTGGTCCCACTCCAGAGTTTCTCATTCACAAGATCTGGAGGAGGGCCTGAAAAACTGCATGTCTAACACCCCCACCTTGAGAACCACTGACTTGAGCAAGTGGGCTGACACAGCCCTGCCCAAAGCCACACCCCAGCTGCCACCAGAGGGCACATGCAACCTGAGCCAGAGGTCTTGTTTCACCTCCATAGCTACCCGCCTGCCACCCGGCAGAGATTCTCTCCGAAAGATTTCTTTCTAGTTGTAATTCTTGTTGTTATGTATTAGGAAGCAGAATCATACATCTAAAAAGTAAGTTGGGTTCTCAAAGTCTGTCTCTGATAAATATTAAAGGTCAGATGGATCAGCCTTTTGAAGATGTTGAATGTCCTGACTTTTAAGAAATGGAACAGGCTATGCACAGTGGCTCACGCCAGTAATCCCAGCACTCTAGGAGGCTGAGGTGGGTGGATCGCTTGAGCTCAAGAGTGCAAGACCAGCCTGGGCAACCTGGGGAAACCCATCTCTACTAAAATTACAAAAATTAGCTGGGGGTGGTAATGTGCCTATAGTCTCAGCCATCTGGGGGACTGAGGTGGGAGGATCATTTGAACCTGGGAGTTTGAGGCTGCAGTGAGCTGAGATCACACTACTGCATTCCAGTCTGGGTGACAAAGTGAGACCCCGTCTCAACAAAAAAAAAAAAAAGAAAAGGAAAAATGAGAAAAATGGAAGAAATAGTTCCCACTGGAGGTTTCCAGGGCTTCCATCACACTGAAGTGGGGGACTTCCTTTCAGAACATCGTAGAATCTTTGTGTATTCAGAACCCAAAAGATAGTAAAGATAATAGGTGATTTTCATCTTCTTCTTTATATTCCAAATTATCTAAATTATCTAAAATTAATGTTACTTTTATAACAAAAAATGATTTTTTTTTTTTTTTGAGACGGAGTTTTGCTCGTTACCCAGGCTGGAGTGCAATGGCACAATCTCGGCTCACCGCAACCTTCGCCTCCTGGGTTCAGGCAATTCTCCTGTCTCGGCCTCCTGAGTAGCTGGGACTACAGGCACGTGCCACTATGCCCAGCTAATTTACAAAAAATGATCTTTAAAACACATTTTAAGTGTGACTAAAAGCCAAAACAACAATTCCAAAAAAAAAAACCCCAAAGAGGAGCTCAGAGTGAGCAGCTTGGGGTTAGAAGAAAGCCCCCAGGTGGCACTTGTTCCCCCCAGTTGGTCCTGCTGAGGTCTCTGCCTAGGTGTAGAAGTCTAGTGGGATCAAAGTTGGCTGAGTGCTCAAGAAAGCAATTTAGGACTGAGGAATAGATGGTTACCTGTGAGGACTCGGCCTGTCAGCTGTGTAAGTCACGTGTTGCTGCAGCTTGTGGCCAGCTGTTTGGCTTCAGGCAGCCCCAACCCAGGCACAACACTTAAGTCACATTCAGTGCTGGTGTTCTCACTGCCCAGGGATTCCCAGAGGCCAAGGGAGTGGGGGCAAGCCAGAAACAGGAAAACATCGACACTTTACACCCTTAGGTTCCTATTTAGTAGCTTCCAGACAGACTTTGTTTGATCTGCAGATAATTTAATACATTTGAGCTAACATTTAAAAATTGGGAGATTTCATATTATCCAGATTCTTTTTGTTTTCTGTTGAAAAATCTCAAGCTCTGGTATCTGAGGGTTGGCATCCCTCTCCACACACTGCAGAGCTCAAGAGAAGTAGGGCAGCAGGGTCTCAACCCTGGCTACTCATTGGAGTCGTCTGGGGAGCTCTTAAAAATGCCCATGGCCAGGGCCCACCCGAGAGCGCCTGACTTAAC